TCAAACCCAAGGAGCAGGTAATGGGAACCTCTGAGGTATAGCCAGTCAGTCAGAAGTACAGGTTACAACCTGGACTTGGGACTGGCATCTACAGTGCAGGGTGATCTTGTGGGACTGAGTCCTTTACCTGTGAAATAGCACTGGGCAAACAGCAAATCCTGTGTGCATTTAGTTGTTATAATCTTATAGCCACTTCTCAGGGCGTTCCCTTGACCATCTTATCTAAAGGGTCCCCCTTAGTCATTCACTATTATATTACATATTCTGTTTTATGATCTACAAAGCTCTTCATCATCTGGAATTACCTTCTAGTTTACTTGTTTCTTGTCTGCTTGCTTCCACTAACATGTAAGTTGCATAGGAGCTGGGCCTGTGCCTAGGGCGTAATAGCACTCAGCACATATTTCTTTCTTTTTTTTAAATGTGTTTTTATTTATTTCAGAGAGAAAGGGAGAGGGATAGAGAGATAGAAACATCAATGATGAGAGAGAATCATTGATCGGCTGCCTCCTGCACACACCACACTGGGGATCAAGCCCACAACCCAGGCACCAGGCATGTGCCGTGACCGGGAATAGAACCGTGACCTGCTGGTTCGTAGGTCAATGCTCAACCACTGAGCCATGCCGGCTAGGCTCAGCACATGTTTCTTACACTGAATTATAATGTTGGATTTTACCAATTCTAGGGAGCAGATTCACCTGTTATCCCCATTTTATGGAGAAGCAAATAGGCATGGAGAGTTTCCTTTGTATGTTCAAGGTCATTCAGCTGGGGCTCAAACCCAATTTGAGTCAGTTCTTACTTTTTAAAAAAAATATATTTTTATTGATTTCAGAGAGGAAGGGAGAGGGAGAGAGAGATAGAAACACCAATGATGAGAGAGAATCATTGATTGGCTGCACACCCCTACTGGGGATCAAGCCCACAACTCAGACATGTGCCCTTGACTGGAATCGAACATGGGACCCTTCAGTCCTCGGCTGACGCTCGCTCTATCCACCGAGTCAAATCGGCTAGGGCCAGTTCTTACTTTTAACTACTATGCTAGATTGACTCCTTCTATTCAAAAAATCTTAGCAAGTGAGTGGGGAGATTGACACATCTTGTCAACTTTCTTCCTTCTCATTTGGGGCAGAATCTGGGTCTGGAAAGTTAGAAAAAGAGGCAAACAGTTAGCCTTCTTCCTCTCCTACAGAGCTCAGCCTCAGCACCTCCCTGTCCTCATCCACGACATTCCCACCCACCCACGGAAGACCTTCCATTCAATCTCATCCTCATAGTCCCCATCTCTAATCCCATCACCATCTAATTCCATCTGATTCCTTCTCCATCGCTGTTCCATTTTCATCCTCATCTCTATGCCTGTGAAGCAGGGCTTGGGTTGGGCTTGGGTCTCAGGGCCTGAGACCCACATCTGTGACCTGAGGTGGAAGAAGTTTGCTTTCTTTTACAGTCAATATAAAAATTCCCATGAATTCCCTGAGTCATTTTTTCCTAGTCCTCTTTCTCTGAGATATTTTGGGTTCTCACTTGTTTACATACTTTCCAGAGTCCAACTAACCTCTCCCCTACACCTGCTTGTGCAAGTCCTTGACTTTCATCCCAGCAATGAGTGGGAATCTGGGAAAGACAGAGCAGCCAGATAGTATGAATAAATGCCTCCATCTAGAACCTGGCTAGGGTATGGAGTCAGGACCGAACCTGGCAGGCCAAGTGCCAGGGCTATTCCAGATCATAAGGGCACATCCCTCTGTCCAACTGAACATGCATTTGACATTGTCTGGCATCTGGGCAACAGTGATCATGGAGTCTTCAAGGGACACTCACTCAGGCCCTAGCAGGGCAGGGAGAATAGGGTGGAGTAGAGAGTGTTACAGATAATCATGACAACTATGGTAACAACAGCCGCTAGCCTAGCAAGGAGAGATGCATTAGGATGGGACAGATAAATATTTTGAGCTGTCTTTAGAAGGAATAAGGAAGGCACTAATGGGCCAGATTTGGTCTGCTTTTTTCTCTTCTGGTGCTTTAAATTCCCACTCTTATGTTTTAGTTCACCAGATGTGAGCCTGTGAAACCCTGCGCCCCCACCCTCGACCCCAATAGAAACAACCCAGGCCCTCTTCTCTCTACACGTGACCACAATGTGTGGCCCCAGGTGTGCCATGTAATTTCCAGGACCTGTAAGTACTGACCCTTGACTCTTTCAAAGTTTTCTAATGGTGATGGCTGAGGGCATCTTATACAATCACAATAAGAACCATGAGGAATGGTCCAGTCACAACCCTGGTTATCAATAGGCCGAGATTGGTACACAACACATACATTTTTCTCATCTGTATAATTTCCTGGGCCAGTATTGTTATTTGACTTCCTAATGCCCACATAGACAATTTAATAGATGAGGAAACAGACTCAGAGAGAAAAGGTAAGGGATTTTTCTCTGTAGTGATGTAGTGGTAAAATTCACACTAGAATCCAGGTTTCTTAGCTCTTGATCCAGTGTCCTTCCAGTTCTGTCAAAGATTCCTTCAATATAGAGGACTGGGATCCAAATGCATTTGGCCTGTCAGAAGCGGTAGGGTAAGACCAACAAGGAGAGGGGCCTGGTGCCGGGATGTGGAACTGGCCTGAAACTCCCTGCCACTGGGCTTATTGGCTGGAAAACTCCATGACTCAACAACTTCACTCCTAGATATAGACCCAAGAGGAATGAGTGCATCATTTCCACCAAAAGGCAAGTACAAGAATGTACATAGCAGTTTTATTCTTTTCTTTTTTAATTCTCACCAGAGGTTATTTTTTCCATTGATTTTTAAGAGAGTTGAAGGGAGAGGGAGAGACAGAGAGAAATATTGATGTGAGAGGGACACATTGATTGATTGCCTCCCACACTTGCCCCAACCAGGTCCAGGAATTGAGCCTGCAATCAAGGTACATTGCCCTTGACCAGAATCGAACCTGGGACCCTTCAGTCCACAGCCTAACACTCTATCCACTGAGCCAAACTGGCTAGGGCTATTATTATTATTTTTAAATATTTTTTATTGATTTCAGAGAGGAAGGGAGAGGGAGATAGAAACATCAATGATGAGAGAGATCATTGATAGGCTGCCTCCTGCACACCCCCACAGGGGACCGATCCCGCAACCCCGGCATGTGCCCTTGACCAGAATCGAACCTGAAACCCTTCAGTCCACAGGCTGACGCTCTGTCCACTGAACCAAACAGGCTAGGGCTATTCTTAATTTTAAAAAACTAAAAACAACCCAAGTGTCCATCAACATAAGAATGGATATACAAACTGTGGTACATCTCTGTAATGGAATACAATTCGGCAATAAAAATGGACAAACTACTGATGCATACAACAACATAGGCCAATCACAGACACTGTGTTGTGTGAAGAAGCCAATCTCAAAAGAGTATATTCAGTATGAGAAAAACTAATCTGGAGAAATCACAGCAGCAGTTGCTTCTAGGGGTTGGGGGAGACTGACTAAGGGGAACAAGGGAAGTTTCTGGGGAGATATAGATGTAGTGGTAAGACTAAGTAATACATGGGAACTCTAAGACGTATACACTTTGCTGAATGTAAATTATACCAAAATTTTTAAAAACTTAAAGCTCAGCTTTTTAGGAAAGAGCAAGTTAAAGAAGGAAAAGGAAGGTTCTTAAAGAACCAAAATTGGAGATGACATCCCAGGTTGAGTCCTGTGTAAGGTGACCAACGGTCCTGATTTGCCTGGGAGTGAGGGATTTCCTAGGACAAGAGACTTTCAGTGCTAAAACTGGGAGAGCCTTGGGTAAACCAAGTCAGCTGGTTACCCAACTGCTGTGGAAGTGAACTGGGAAGGAATTTGGATGTCTGGCCCACAACCTGGACTCCCTTGGTCCCTGAGTCTTAGGGCTTCTCCTGTGGGCTCAGAGAGGACCCGCCAGGAGGTCAGGACAATGGGCTTTGCTGGCTGACACCAGGAACATCAGGGTTGGGGAGCCACCTTTGTTCCCAGGTTATTCCTCAGGATTCCTGACCCTCTTGGAACATAAAGGGGTGGAGGGTGAGGAGGAGGGAAAAGCCTTAGAGACTGAATTGAGGCACTTGGGCTGACCAGTTTCTGAGCATCACAGCTCAACTGGGCTCCGAGGAAGTTCTCACTCAGCCCTGTTCTCACATCCCCATTCCATCCTCCTTCAAATGCCTAGGCCAAGAAAGTACCAAAAATATCTTCCACATTGATTCTGTGGAAGATAACCAGACATGGGAACCTCTTGAAGGCAAATACTATTGTATCTCTTCACCTTCACAGCTGTCAGAAGGCAGGGGCTGTCCTCTCCCAACTTGGTCTGCCACAACCTGCAGTGACTTGAGCTGTAGGGGTCGCCTTTCCTTTCCTTTCCTTTCCTTTCCTTTCCTTTCCTTTTTTTTTTTTTTTTTTTTTTTTTTTAAAGAAAACAAAGGTTCCAAAGATAGTAAATAGTAGAGCAGCCAAGTTTGAATCTAGGCGTATCTTGATTCTACAGATGAGATTTTTTAAATTGTATATGTCTTCTTTTTCCCCAATTGACCCCCTCCCCACCAGCCATTCCCACCCCAGGCAAGCCCCCACCATCCCAGTGCCTGTGTCCATTGGTTATACTAATATGCATGCATACAAGTCCTTTGGTTGCTCTTTACCCTCCCTCCCCCAATTTGTCTCTAGATCTATTCTTGTTCATCAAATTATGTTGATCATTATATTCCACATATGAGTGAGATCATGTGATATTTATCTTTCTCTGACTGGCTTATTTCGCTTAGCATGATGCTCTCCAGTTCCATCCATGCTGTTGCAAATGGTAAAAGTTCCTTCTTTTTTATGGCGGCATAGTATTCCATTGTGTAGATGTACCACAGTTGTTTTTTTAAATATATTTTATTGATTTTACAGAAAGGAAGGGAGAGGAATAGAGAGTTAGAAACATCGATGAAAGAGAAACATCGATCAGCTGCCTCCTGCACACCTCCTACTAGGGATGAAGCTGGCACCCTGGGCATGTGCTTTGACTGGAATCCAACTGGTGCCCTTTCAATGCACAGGATGATGCTCCACCAACTAAGCCAAACAGGCCAAGGCTCCTCTCCCTTCTCAGAGCATGGGAGATGTGGATGTGGGGTAATGAGGGAGTGGCTGTCCAACTGAGGCCACAAGTGAATTCTGACAAAGAAACTGCCAGGTGGGCTAGTCCTCGGAGGAGAAACAGGCACCAGGGGGGTGGGCTCAGAAGTTCTCATAGTGGTGCACGAAGTGGGCCTGGTCCTGCCTGTTGATGAGCTGACAGGCCTTCTCTACATTCTTGGTCATTCCTGGAGGGCCGCAGCTGAATACCCCGATCTTCCGTACCTGTCAAGTGCATGTGGGGAGAGTGGTTTCAGAAAGAAGGGTCCTGCAGGCTTGAGAGGCTCACTTCCGGGAGGAAGCTGCTTCTGAAGCCTGACTGGAGTGACCAGGGCGTCAACCCCAGACCACAAGGAGGAGACTTGAGCTGGAGATGGGAAGGGGGTGGGGAATTTAAGCCTTCCTTATCTTGGGGCCAAGTTCAGTGTGGGGGGCGGGGGTTCCACTCAAGATAGAGCCATAGGGTGCTTACGGGTCAGGATGTCCTGGTGGGGAAGGCCAGAGTCCCAAGATGGGTGAGGTTGGGACTAACCTTTGGGTGAACCTCCTGCAGGGAGTTGAAGAAGGGCTCAAAAGGGGGGCGACCAAAGTGGGTGACGGAGCGCAGACCCGTGAACAGACTCCGGTTCAGCACCTTCTGGAAGTGCCGCTCACAGATGTACTGGTAGAAGAATGATTGGAGGAAGAAGGTCAGAGCCAGGCAGAACCAGGGCAGCTCCTAGCCTAGATGGTTACCCACCCATCCTGCCCGGCCGGCCCTGACGTACCAGCATGGTGGTCCTGAGGTCGAACTTCTCAGCCAGCTGGGTGATGTAGATGTGCACGGACACCAGGTCCTGGTGGTCATTCTCCTCCACCTCCCGGATGATGTCAGCCAGCCACTCGAACTGCCGCTGGGTCCGTGTCACCCAGATGAAGTAGATCTGGGGACACATGGCTGGAGCTGAGGACTCAACTCAAGGTTCCTCCATCCCGCGTGCCTTCCCCTGAGCGGCTAGGAAGCCCCAGATTACCCACAGACACTGACCCTCTGTCAGGACCCACAAGCTTGGCCCCAGGCTTCTAAACAACAGATCCAAGCAGAGGCCCTTCTGGCTACACTTCCTACCCTCCCTCAGAACATTTGGTACATAGAAAACTGGGTATAAATGGCCCTGGCAGACCTAGTGCCTATGAGCCAGGGGCTTTTTCTAATGCTGTTCTGTTGTGATGTGGGAACACAGTCCATCTATTCGGATTCCTTTGAAGAATGGGAGAGAGACACTCACCTTTTTACAGAGCATTTGGCTGCCCAAGGATGACTTGAAGACCAGGTCTTTGAGGATGGAGGCAAAGGGGGTGACGCCAATGCCTCCTCCCACCAGCACTGACACCTCAAACTTATGCCACTCCTGGTGGCCCTCTCCAAATGGTCCATCAAGGTACAGCTGCCAACAGAAGGGGGATGGAATGAGCCTAGACCTGCCCCAGCTCTGACGCTAGAAATGGGGCGGGGGCAGGGGGCAGGGGGCAGGGAGTGAGTATAAGGAGAAGAAAGATGCAGGTACATTCTAGCCTATTCTGAGGCAAACAACCCTCTCCCAGCTTGGCCTTGAGGTATCTGGTGCTTCCAGACTCTAGGAGGAGGAGGACAGAGACACGTCTGTCAATTCCAGAGCCCCAAGTGGTTCCCAATCATGGGCACCTTCGGGTATCTGTCAGAGCCGTTGGTCGGGGGTGAGTAGATCTCCCTGAGGCGAGTGGTCCAGGGCCCTGCCGCCCGGATGTGCAGGCTGAGCGTGTCCTCATGGGGCGCAGAGGTCAGTGTGAAGGGGTGGTACTCATTGGTCCCCAGAGCCAGGCAGGCGATCCGCACCCACTGTCCTGACTTGTACTCAAAGCTTGGGGGCCGCTGGAACTGCAGGTGGGTCACCCCTGGGGTCATGGGCAGAGAAGGGCAGGGATTAGAAGGCTTGCTTCTGGAACCTGAGGACTGGCAGGTACCCTGTCCTCTCCATATGCCTGAGGCACAGGGAACAGTCACATGGTCTGAGCAAATTGGGCTCCTGGGGCTGGGAGTCAGAGGACCCCCTCCTCTGTTTCCTGGGTAACATGAGAGCTTCTCTGCTCCCCTGTTGTAGCCCTCTTCTCTCAGATCTCTCTTCCCACATAGGATTCAGGTCCAATACCACTGTCCTGGATACAAGTCTACTGGTTCCCCAGGGGCCAACTCAGTACTTACCAAACTTCCACTGCTATAGCCATATCTGCATAACTCCTGAACTATCACTTATGTTTTTCTTTGAATTGACTTACTTTTTCAATTTGATTTACCTTGACAACTAGGTTTAGGTCACTAAGGTTGGTGGAAAACCAATATCATGTCCTCTAAATAGAAGGCACCATGTTTTATCAAATTTTTTCTGGATACCCTTTGTGGCCTGACCACAGCTGAACCTCGGGCCTGTTCTCTCTTTGCTGAAGAAGGAGATTTGCAGGTATTGGAGAGTACAAAAGCCAACTAACACCTTGTTGCAACTTTGTCCTTAAGTAATCTTGATTGAAATAAAGTAGAAATGAGGTTAATTTTCTTACTATGTGAGTCCTAAAGGTTGGATGGTTCCTTGACACCTAAAATCATCTTCATCACCCTCTACAGTGATGTGAATGCCCACTTTAGCCAGCACTGGCTCTCAACAACAGAGTCTCACAATCGAGCCGTTGGCCTATCTCTAAAAGGGGATTGTTCTGCAGAATTGGCTGTGAAAGGGATATATGGTTTCCTGCCCTGCACCCAGGCCACACATGTGGGGGTCTCTCTTGTCCTTAAACGCCTTCATCGGCACTTTCAGCTATCTCTTTTCTAGTCACTTCACACTGTCTACAAGTCCTCCGGGGACTGCATTTGCATCAGGAATGCTGCAGGGGTCCCAGAGAGGCTATCTCAAGGCGGGGTAGGAGGCCTGGGAAGCTGTTGTCCCACACACCCTGAGTCAACTTCCCGTGCTCCCCACCCAGGGTCAGGCCAGGCCTGGTACCTGAAGGCAGCAGCTCGGCCTTTACCACGTTGATCTCCACCTTCTTCCGGCTCAGGCTCACCAGCTTGTCTGCCCCGTAGATTAGTGCCGGGACCAGGAAGTAGATGTGGAAACGGGGCAGCTGGACCAGGCCAACGCTGCCGTGGATGATGATCTGGAGACACAGCCAGTTAGTATAGCTGAGGCCCAGCCAGGCCCCCTTCCTGCCCTCCCCTTGCCCAGATACATTCTGCTTGGCCTTGGGCCTGGGCTGGGTAATGGGGATGGAATCAGCTTCAGAGACTGGGATCTCAGATCTCAAGGTCTCCGTTTGAGATCCTGTGTCCAATTCAGCCTGTTCCCCCTCCCATCATGAGTGCTCATTCCTACCCCATGGCCGGGCCCTGCCCAGAAAAGTCCCTCACCAGGATGTAGAGCAGGACGTAGAGATGGTGGGTCAGCCAGAAGCCCCGGAAGCTGCGGCGCCGGAAGTGGTGGGAGGCGAAGACATACATGATGGCCAGGACCAGGAGCAGAAGCACTCCTGTCATACCTGGAGGTACGGGATGCAGGGACAGAGAAGCATCTCAGGACTTCAGCCTGGACTGAGAATGCAAAGAGCATTCTTCCCCCATTCTGCCCTCCTTCCCTGACCTCCCTCATCCCTCCCTAGTTCCCAGGACAGCCTGCCTGAGGGGGCTGCAGCTGGGGCTTGTCCTGGAGGCTAGCAAGAGAATCGCTAATTATTATACACACATATGTGTTCATGGGAACATGAAGACAAAAGCAGAAGTCCTCAGGCCGTACCCCCAGTTCCCTCACACAGCCCCACTCCCTACCTGGGACAGTCTGGAAGAACCACCAGTAGAACTTCTGGGGAACCTGGGACCTGTGGGGCAAAGACACATGGGACCTCTGGCTGGGACAGGAGGGGCTCCGCCACTGTCACAACATGCTTCTCTTCCTGCCGGCCCTGATGGCTGAGGTGACTGGGCCTCCACCCAGAGGGCCCACCATCCTTCCAAGGAACATGCCACCCAATCTCCTGCAGTTCCATCCTCTGCTCTCTCAGCAATTCCTCCTCCAGTGTTGTCCTCAACTCTCCTACTGTGCCTCATCTTTGCTTCCTTCAGTGCTTGGTTCATGTTCTATAAATTCAGTGAGGGCAGGGGTATGTGTTTTGCTCAGCGCACTATCCCTATGCTCAAACAGTGCCAGGCACATAGTAAACGTCCAGTAAGTATTTGCTGAGTGATTGCATGTGCCTTGGCATCCCTACTCTCTGGCTCCTGGATGGCCACATCAAATGTGCTCCATACCTGTTTGCCCAGTGAATGGCTAATAGGCTGAGATGTGTGTGAGGTGCATGTGGGAAAGAGTCTCCAACTTCATCTCCCAAGCTCCTTCCCTGGCCAATCATGGCCAGCTTCCTTCCGGAGGCTGAGGAATTCCCCTCTCAGCTTCCCCAAGGAGGCTGGCATCTCACCCTCACTCAGTGAGGGAGTGGAGTGTCTGGGACCATCTGTTTCTTTTCTATTATACCCTTGGATGTGCCCAGGTGTCCCTAGGGGACCCTCCCAGAACTGACCCATCATCCACAAAGACGCCGGGGAAGATGCAGGCCAGCATGCTGAGGGGGCTGACTGAGAAGATGTAGACATTGACCACGTGGCCAGCGCTGTGCAGAACTGGAAGAGACAGACCGTTAGAGATGCCACCCTGGGCATCTCCAAGGGAAAGAGGAGGAACGGGGGAGAGATGGAAGTAAAAGTAGTTCCAGTCACCTCACTATTTCCCCCACAGCTAGTCCCAGGGGCCTGCAGCAATGAGATTCCCCAGGAGCCACGTACCAGCCAGGACAACAGCAGCCATGGCGATCCAGCGATGGAAGTCCACGGCGGCGTCGAAGGGCACGTAGCGGTTGAGGAAGGTCTCCCGCAGGAAGGTGATGAGGTTGCGGCACATGGTGAGCAGGATGTAGGAGAACATGAAGGAGACGCTGGCGGCCGTGCCCCGCGACAGGATGATGCCCACAAAGGTGGTCTGTGCGATGCCCGAGGGTGGCGAGGCAAAGGCATAGTCTGGGGACAGAGTGGGACGCTGAGGAGCGGGAAGAGCAACCAGAGGGCTTCCCTTCGCCCATCCACTGCCCCAAACCAGAGCTCGTACAGTAGGCGCGCTCTGCAAACAGGCCTGCACAGATGGCTGAGAAGATCGTGATGCACACGATGTGCCGCCGGTAGTTCTCCACGAAACGCTTGTACTGCTGCAGCTTCTGGGCCAGCAGGCCCCTCTGCCTCTTCTCCGGCAGCGCCTTCGTGTACAGCGGCGGAGAGATCACCACTGCCCTGCAGCCCGGAAGGCAGTTAGCTGTAAGGTCAAGGCACGCTGGCTTCCCCTAAATGTCAGCCAGGCCGGTGTGATTCAGTGGTTGCACATCGACCTCTGAAGCAGGAGGTCACGGTCCCATTCCCTGGTCAGGGTACATGCCTGGTTTGCTAGCCCCCAGTGGGGGACGTACAGGAGGCAGCTGATCGATGATTCTCTCTCATCATTGATGTTCCCATCTCTCTCTTCCTCTCCCTTGTTCTCTGAAATCAATAAAAACGTATTTAAATTTAAAAAATATCACCCCATGAAGGAGACCTGGTGACTCCCTGGGGGACAGGATGGGCCACAAAATAAGTTTTTGGGGGGTAGCCTCCCAACCCCCCAAACCTTTGCCTCTCATCTTTATTAGTTTTATCCACCCCCTCCTTTGTCTCCCCACTATCCTACTCCACTCCCTCTTCCTCCTGTCGCTCTGTCCTTCCCTCTTCCTGCTCCCTGCACAGGCTTCACTGCTCTGCCCAAAGCAGGCAGGAGCCAGGAGACTTGGTGTCGTGTCTGAGTGCCAGATTCTAGCCTGAACATTAGGATATTGATCACTTGACTCTATAGCCCTCCAGTCAAGTTAGGTACTGATGGAATAAGACTCAGGATGGTCTCTTGTGTGTCAAGGTGGTATGGGCAGAACCCAAAGACCCTGAGATCTCTCCCCATGTCTCCTGGGCCCAGGGGTATAGGAAACACTCACTTTTTGCCAAACCTCTTCTTCAGCCCAGGTCCTCCAAGCTCTGGGACTTCTGAGGCAGGGAGCCCCCCTCTTTGGGAGCAGGAGCTGAGAAAAGGAAAGTGGGTCTAGTTCTCCCCTTGTCTTTGCAGCCAGAGGAGAACTGTCAGGTCAGAGCTCGGGGATGGGGTGGGGTGGGGTAGGAGTGGATCCTATGACCCATCCTGCTCACACAACTTGCCCATAAAACTGGTCAGAGAGGAGCAGACAGGAGACAAGGCAGAATGAATAAATATGATCTGGTCATCTGTTCTATAGGATGGTTCTGTCCTGGAGTGGCAGGAGAGAGCCAGGCTCCTAAGCAGCATGGGGTGTGGGAGGCAGCTGGAATTTGGGCTAGGACTAGCCATGCACTAAGAGTAACTTTCATAGGTCAATGTCTGACCCCAGGGTCAGATTCAGCCAGCCCTACTTTCTTCATTTCTTTGCAGGGTACCTGGCCAAATGGACTTCCCAACGCCTCATTCCTTCTCACCATTCTCCAGGAGTTCGAGTGATGAATGAAACTCGACAGTTGATGTTTGGTTTAAAGATGTTTCTAAAACCTGGAGAGAAAAACAAGAGGCTTCCCCATGAGGTGGGCGGGGTAGGTGGAAGGCTGTCCCTCCAACACCACCCAGCCCTCTGGGAAGGGTGCCATGGCACTTGTCAGTGACTTGGTCATGTCCTCATCTCCTGCTCCAGCTTTGTTCCCCTCACTCCCCACACTGCACACAGGGCAGCCACTGCTAGACAATGTGGCAATTCTGTGCCATTAGGAAAAGGAACCCTCTCCAGGTAGATGCCTGGGCCTGCGGATCCTTTGTGTAAAGAAAGCAGTGCCTTTTCCTCTGGCCAGATACAATCCAGACCAATCCACATGGCTTGGTGGGCAGAATGTAGGCTGGATTTTAGCTCACTCTTGAATCCTCAGTGGGCATTTTTGTGCAGGGCTGTAGTACACTCTTGATTACACATGCCTGACTCAGTGCTAAGCACCAAGGACTAAGACAGAAATGAGATCTGGGTTCTATACATCAGGAAGTCTCATTTTGAGGACACACCCTTCCTTGACTCTGACCATTCCTTACATACTCACACACCTTCACCTTTGACACAGAGCTGCGTGCGGCGGAGTTCACTGTCATGGTCCCTCAGCATAAAGTGGAAGTCCTCCCATGTCAGCTCCTCCTTGTTCTGGAAGCCTGACTCCCGGAACATGGACTCCACCACCTCCTCCAGCTGGGCCTTGGACAGGCAGTTGTTGGCGATCTCAATGAAGGACCTTGGAGAGGACCAGAGAGAGCAGCCTGTTACCTGGCGAGGTCAGGCTCAGGCAGGTGCAGAGTGGGGCGGGCCATGGATGATCTAATGTTGTTGCCAGTGACCCTGGAAATAACACCGAGAAGATATTCATCCAGCCTGTACCTGACACTAAGCTGGGTGGGGTGACCACGAGCTCAAAAGGCAGAACAAAACTGAAAATGACCTTGACCAAGGAAAGATAGCAACCTTCAAACAGGGAGACATCTACAGCTGGGATGAATGTCCACTTAGTGTAGGGACATGTCCAGGTATGCCATGATGCCATGACAGGGTCTCTGCCTCTGACAGGATCTCTCTCGTATTATGTCTCCCACACCATCGCTGGGCTCCCCCTTTCACAGTCCAGTGGGGGCATAGAAAACTGGGGGTGAGGTTGGGGGGGCGAGATATAGCTGCAATGGCTGCTGCTTCCTCATGCCAAAACCTCAAAGCACAGACAGGATTGTTTCCACACCCAATCAGACAGCACCCATAGTGGCAGCAGCAGTAGCCATACTCTTTTCTTAAGCTGTGCTTTGGGATGAAACTATGAGCCCAGAAGAAAAAGAGCTTTTCCCACACAGTACAGCAAGCACTGCCATCACACTGAGAAACACATCATCCCACTGAGACTGAGGAAGGTCCACACACTGAGTATAGGATGAGAAGGTGGAAGCTCATGCCTTGGGGGCAGGGACTCTCTCCTAAATTCCATAGGATGTACTCTGGCCTGGGCCTGCAATGGCACACCCAGCGCGGTATAGACTGCAGTCAGCTAACTTCACCCCATCCCTTCTAGAAGCCCATGTCCAGTTGTGGTATCTGGACTGTGAGAGGGATGAGGCAGTCAAGGGGAATACAGAAGTCAATGGAAAGGCTTAAAGGGGGAGAACATTTAAAAGGTCCTGAGCTATTGTATGCATTCTATTCATTCATTTGTTCATTTATTCCATCTTATTCAGTTAACCATGTATTGAATGCCTGTTATGTGCCAATCACGGCATAGAGGAGGTGCATTTAGCAGGAAACAAAGAAGGCATGAACCCCATCCGTATGGAGCTGAAGGGGACTGTGTTACTGGAGCATTGTCTTCAGGAATAAGAAGTCTCAAAACTGATCTTTATCAAGACACTACAACCTGAAATGGCTTAAGGGGCAGTAAGAGAGAAGGGTCAAAAAATAGCGGAACTGTCTGTGTTCCTCCTCCTGCTAATCAGGGTGATTAATATTGGAAGAGTGACTAAGGTTGTCCATGCTCCATCCACCTGTGACTTCACTGTATAGAGCAGTGTTAGACATGCTGTAGACTTCACAAAGATCCAGAAGCATCCAGAAGGGGTTAGTGGACTTTCGTTAGTGGTCATATTAGTGTTGGTTGTGGTTTTGTTTTTTGTTTTTTTTTCTAACTAGGGAGGGAGAATTTTCTGGCTGATGTGAAAGCGCAGATATTGACCCTCCTGGAGCAAAGTTTGGGAATGCTAAGTGAGAAAGGCTTATACTGGGGACAGAAGGGACAAACTTGTGAAGCTGGCTGCTCTGAGAGTCTAGGACGCACTGAGGGCCAGCTCTCAGTGGAGGCTGCCTCCTTGCCTACACTCCTCTGACCTGACTTGTTTTCCTGTTGAAAACATCAGGAAGTCTCAGGGCTAGAAGGGCCCAGCCCGTACCGCATCATGGTGAAGAATTCCTCCTTGGAGAGAAAGCCATTTGCATCCAGGTCATACATGGTGAACATCAAACGGGACTTGTCCTCTGGGGAGCCTGGGAAGAGAAAGGAGGATACAGGTCATCTCTCTGCTGAAAGAACCCTGGCTCCTGGAATGGCCCACCATCCGCCTACCTTTCATGAAGACCACCAGGATGTCCAGGAACTCCCGGAAGGACAGGTAGCCATTGCCGTCTTTGTCGGCCAGAGAGAACATGGACTCCACAAACATGTCCTGGGGCTTGAGGCCCAGGGACTCAGCAAACTCAGCCCTACTCAGCTCACATGTCAGAGCCTCTCGTACCTCCTGTGGCGAGTCCAGGGGCTGAGCCCTTGCATCAGGCTTGATGTCCAGCGCCTGTACCCAGGCAGCAGTAGAGGGAAGGAGAGAAGGAAGTGAGGCCTGGCTGAATGCAATTCAGTGACCCTTCACATCTCTCCAAAGTCCAACTAAGAAAGGGAAGCCCTGGTGGCTACTCCTAGTCCTCAGATATACTCCTGACTTGGGCCCCTGTTCTCCTGTAGAGGGAGTGGCTTCAATCTCTAGCATTTTCTCCCTGGACCCAAGATCCAGGAACTTTATACAGTAGGAATGGTGCTGGGCCTGGCTTGGAGCAGCAAGGGGCAAAGTTTGGGAATGCTCAGTGAGAAAGCTTATACTGAGGACAGAAGATGTAGTTGACATGGGTGGACAGGCAGGAAGAGGCTAGAGATATGTTCTCTCACCAATTCAGACAAGCTGCCATGTGCCTGATTTGGTCTCTGCACATTATTCAAAGATTTTAAAAGTCATTTATATGTAGCAACCATTTGTTAAATGTCTACAATGTACAGTTAAGTCCTCAATGTCATCAATAGGTCCTGTGACTTTAAGCAAAATGAGGTACAACAAAACCAATTTTACCTTAGGCTCATGATATAAGCTTGAGTTAAGTTCCTATGTCATCTCATCAAAGATATCAAGCATTTGGGCTAAACACTACATAGAACAGTGTTCTTCAAATGTTGGAGTGTATCAGGATCCCTTGGCGGGTTTATGGGCCCCAACCCCAGAGTTCCTGATTCACTAGGTCTGGAGCAAAGTGAGGGGGGTGAGGGCTGCTAAAGATTTGCATTTTTAACAAATTCCAAGTTCAGGCTACTGCTGTTTGTCTAGGGGCTACACTTTGAGAACCACTAATGTAGATTGTCTCACCGAATCCTTACAACAACCCAATGGGATGAATCCTATTTTAATAGGCTGTTTTATAGATGAGGAAACTAAGATACAGAGCAGAGGTCATGTGATTTGCCTAAGGTCACACAGATAGTGAGTGGCAAAGCTAGGATGTCTCCAGCCCACACAGCAGAAACTTAGTTCACCCATATAGAGTCCTATCAGGCCACGGTTTCCTCCAACCCATGGGTTGGTCCTATCTTCAAAAGGCACAGCCATAGCACCTGAAGAAGGTGTCTGAAGAAGACTTCCAGGATGCGGCCCCGCTGCTGCTTGGTCACAGCCTTCCTGAACAGCTCATTCTCGTCCATCTCAGCCCTGTGGAGACCCAGAGCCCACTGCACACAGGAGTCTTGCAGATGCTGAATGAAGTTTCTTCGCTCCTCCTCGGAGTTAAACAGCAGCACCTGGGTGGGAGGAAGGCCGAGCCAATGCTCAGAGCTTGAGCTTCTGGTTCAGCCTCCCCTCAGAGAACCTTAGGTTGGGGGTAGGTGAGTGGCCCAAAAGGGTCAGAAGGAGGGTCAGGGGACCTCTGAAAGGAGTGCCTCTCCCACAATCAGCCTTCACAATGAGCTCTGTAGCTAAGAAGAGGGTGACTCGAGAGTACTCGCTGTGAGAGGGGAGGCAGGATGGGCTGTACCAGGTCATATTCCTTGGGGATCTTGAGCAGCAGGGTGCGACATCCACGGTTGTTGGACAGAATGAGGTTGACCTGCTGCAGGGGCCGCAGCTGGATGGTGCGCAGCACAGAGAGTCGCATATCCAGAACCTGAAGACACTTGTCTGGGAGCAGCTGAATGATGACGGGGTAGCTGCTCTCCCTAGGGCCTGGCCACTCCATCGCTGCAGAGGAGATGATTGGGCAGAGCAGTTCAGCAGAGGTCCCCAGGCCCCTGCCCTCAGGCCAGTTCCACTCTAC